CTCACCATGTGTCATTTGCATAAGTTCCTTTCTTCTCTTTTATCCACTAATTTTGTATATTTTGTTTTTTCTAAGAATTTGTCTTTGAGCTTTCTCGCTTGGTCCTGTTACCAATTATATGTATTCATACAAGTTTTTTGATTGAATGAAATATACTTTACTGTTGCCTTAAAAACAAAAAAAGAGTGCAAATTTATCCTGAATCAGGATTTACACTCCATTTACATCTTTTTCAAACGTAGCCTAAAAAACTTTTGATTCCATTGTCTTCCATCTTAAAATGGGGAATATGATACTTAATTTATTATCCGCAACAAAATCTTTAAAAAACAAAAATGATGAAATTATTATTGGATTTGATAGGGGTGGATTCACATTCAATTCCATACAATTATAAATGGATTGAATTTGTATCCTGAATTTTGCAGCTCTAAAAATAGTAATTGAGTGCATTTATTGTTATGGAAAAGGACAAAGAAACTTAATGCATACATAGATTTTTTTTAATGCATGTTTCATAAACAGATACATGGACGGGACTAAAGTTTAATATTCTGACAACATTCGTTTCCTCTATTATTTGAATTATCAGCCAAGTAGAGAATTTTCATCAAATACCCACACCTCCAACTCAGATTTTGTGAAGTCACCAGATATTAGTGGGTAGCACACACACAACACATGCTGCATGAATTGTTCTGCATAGAGTTCATAAGTTAGAGCTTCTTCCATGTCAATTAGCCCATTTGTGGTATGTGGATACATCATGCCTAACGATTTGCTGTGATTAAATCAGACATGTAATTAAAAAAAAAAAAAGGAAAATACTACCGTTATCATCATCATCACCATCATCATCATAACCATCATCACAGCCTTTTCTCAAATTCAATTATATGGGACACAACAGCTAGGTTAATCCTGTTTGGCCATTTCAAATGTGATAATCATTGTTAAATTATGAACTCTTAAATCAATCCTTATTCACACCACCCATGTCTTTTTTTTTTTGTGTCTATCCTTGGCTCTTCTAGTTTTATTTAGGGGTATTCAAATTTGGTTATTAAATCGAAAATTGAATTGAACCAAATCATATAAGCCAATTTAGTTTGAGTACTTCAATTTTTAATTCGGTTTGATTTTATGATTTTAGAAATATCAATTTTCAGTTTTGGATTGGTTTGAGAAAAAATCAATCAAACCAAACCAAATTAATCAACTTAAGCAAAATAAATACATATATTTATATTTTAATTATAAATTTTAATGTTAATATGTATTAGCATTACTATTTTTATTAATAATATATAATATATAATATGTATTTTAATTATAAATGTTGATATATTTTAATAATAATTATTAATATAAATATAAATACGTTTATATTTTAACTAACCAAATTAACCGAATCAAAACCAAACCGAACTGATTTGAATTTTGTTCGGTTCGATTTGATTTTCAAATATAATTCGTTTCATGAAAATGATGTACATGACTGAAATGTTGGTTATGTTCTATTTTCAAATCAAACCAAACTGAACCGACCAAATGAACACCCCTAGCTCCATCCACTTGATCAATTCTTTTTCAATTGTTGTGAATGTTGTTTATGCATTTGACAAAACTATCTTAATCCACTTTACCTCATTCTATCATTAAATGTCTTCGGTTCTTTCAAATGAATTCGTTTCTAACTTTGTCACACTTATTTTTTTTTGGACATATTTATTTGTTAACTAATGCACAGTTGCATATATAATATTGTTGGCCTTGAAATCATTTTGTAAAATTTTCATTCTAGCATAAAAGTGATATTTATTTAGCACACAAGACCTTGGATGCACATCTCCATTTTTGCCTATCATTATAGGGGCTTAATTTATGGGGATTTTGAAATTTGAAGGCGTTTTACTGACCAAAATGATGTTGATTGATCTTGTAACAAGTGAGAAAGCGAAAGTTGTGAACTGAAGCATAGTATTAAATGTACTTGTATCTAACATTAATGATTTGCTTGGTTATGGAGAAAACATGTGTGAACAAGGTAAGTTGAGAGAATTTGAATAATTTTTTTATCTATGGTTTTCAAAACTAGACCGGATCAGATGGTTGGATCGAAAAAATTGGGAATTGATCAGGTGATCGGTTTCGGTTTTTCTCAAAAATGGAATTTCCATAAAAACTGTTGATTTTGATCAGCAAATTGTTGACCCAATCGATTAACTGTTCAAATGGTTTTGGTCGATTTTCATTTTTTTTTAATTTTTTGTCAGAATAGGCCGGTCGTTTAGTTCGAATGATCAGACCATTCAACCTGATAAATGGACCCCTGACTGGTTCGATCTCCGAATCGATTTTAAAATCCATGCTTTTAGCACTTTGTCTCGCATGTTTTCAACTTACTCGCTGTTTTTCAAATAAACCAAGAACAGCCCTAGTTATAAAATTTTCTCATTTATTTTCTTTCAATTTATCCCACTCAAATGATGTGGACCTGAGGATCTCTTTAAATAATGTTTGCCTACATCATTTATAAGAGACTCAACAATAACTGATGGTCCAATTGCTGGTTTTAAACCAATGGTTGAAATTATCATAAATAAAAAGAAATTCATAGAAAGGGAAGCTTTGAGAAAATGTGAAAATCTAAAAGCCTACAATGTGCAACTAGAAATATTATTTGTTGTAAATTTACAATTACTGAAAAAAATTGAAACTTGAAAAAGAAAGAAATACAGTTATTATAAGAAATTGGCTTGAAACTTGAATTATCTAGGCCAAACGTCCTCCACCACAATTATTAATTAGTAGACTTCCATATTTGATTCTTCTTCTTCACAAAAATCCCCCCAAAACAAACCTAAAATAAAATAAAATGCAAACAAGCCATTTTTTTCTAGAGCTCAGAAAGGAGTTGCAAGCTTTATCTAGTTTTGTTAGGGCTGTTCATAAGAAGGCCCAACCCGACCAAACCCGAGTCGGTCGGGTTTTCATCAGCATCGGTCGGTTTCGGGTTGGGCAAAATCATAAACCAATATATCGGGTCGGTTTCGGTTTTCTTATGTGAAAACCGAAACCGACCCGAACCAAACCGAATCAATTAGTTTTCTAGTTCGGTAGTTCCTAGTTTCCTACTTAGCTAGTCTTCTACTAGAACTAGAACAGCCCTATTTTCTATTTCCTACTTAACTAAATTGTATCTATCCTAATTTCTCTAGTCTTTTACACCAAATAGGCAACCCATTAGGCAATTACAATTACAATTAGAATTAGGTGTCTTGCTAGTTCTACGCTTCTCTATCATTTTTGTATAGGAGCAAAACCGAAACCGACCCAAACCGACTCAAACCGACCAGGTCAGTTTTACCTTTCAGTGGATCGGTTTTGGTTTCCACCTCATGTACCCGACCAGGTCGGGTCGGTTGGGAAAACCCCTATAAACCGACCCAACCCGACTCGTGAACAGCCCTAATTTTTGTTATTCTTTTTGCTTTTCAAAAAAATAATAATAAAATCCGGGCTATCCCCAAAGGCCCAAAACCCATAATAACCCTCTCAAGCCTGCTTCTGACGGGATTCGATACCAAGTCTCTAACCAACTGAGCCGGTTGGTATCTACGGACTTCAAGCTCAGGTTTGACCTGCAATCTTTCTACTTGTTGCAGTCTAACTGTCAGTCTTGGAGCTTGGCCCAAATATTACAAAATGACGAGGAAGGGAAGGAAAAGAAATCTCAGACTTACACTGACATAGGATGGTTGTGAATTGTGATGATATTTCGTCTTTATTTCTTCTTTTTTTCCTTTTTTCCTTTTTTTTTCTTTTTCTTTTTCCTTTTTTTTTTTTTTTTGACTTGGACAGTTGGACCTAAAAACGGGTCCACAATCGCTGCATCTCTTCGATGATCCTACGACCAAATGTTATCATATTACTATAGACGAATGGCACAGGAAGCCCATACCGTCAATCACGGCACATTGTGAGCGTGTGATATAAATACATGTTGGGCCGGCTCACCAAAAACAATTAAAAAGATACATGTAACATGTTGGGCCCACTCAGAGTAAAACGATTATGGCTGTTTAGCTGATTATACTTCGCTAGGAACAACTTAGCATTGTCTGTAAGAAAATCTGGTGAAAGCCCAAGATGGCACAATCCACAAAGCAGAGGAGGCCCATGAATGTATTTTTCTTAATAAAGCAAATACTAGGAGGCTAGGAGTAAGAATTGGGGACAAGGGACTTCACTTATATTTTAGCCCTTTTTACAGTCCACTCCACCTCAGAATTATTGGGAAATTATTTTCTCAAATGTATTTATATCTACTCCCCGTGAAGAAGAATAAACTGTTGCCTGAACTCCAACCCTTGGATTCATGGACCTGATAAAGTCAGGCTAACAAACACAAAAAGAAAAAAAAAAAAAAAAGCATTGATTGATTGTATAAATGTAATCTAATGAAAAAAGTCGAAAAGTCGGGGTACTTTTGTCTTTTCAAAGGATGTGCTCCCCATAAAAATGAGATAGCCCCAAATAAGCAAGGGCCACGAGAGGCAATTGAAAATGTGTCCCCCAGAAACCCTCTCTAAGCATAAATCCGAAGATGGAATCGGGAAAGACTGTTTCCGTTTACAAAACTCAGTGGCATTAGCGTAATAAACAAGGGGTTCTAATAAAGACAAATTCGGAGGTGTAAAAGATAGAAAACTTCCACCACGTTCGCGGATCGCGCCACTGCGTTTTCCTTTTGAGAAAACCGTAACAAACTGTACTCCTTCCTTCCTACAGAAGAGCTGCCGCCGAATGGTATGTCATGTCATGTCATGCATGCCATGCAAATGCGATGATGATGGTGGTGAATTATGTATGGGTTGCTAAGACGGAGAGTCATGCATCATGCATGTGCATGCTTCTCCTCCTTATGTCAGCCCATGTCAATTGCCAGCTCATCTGCTTTCCATTTACTTATTTCCTATTATTATTTGACCGCTTGGGAGTCGGGATACTCATCAAGTCATCAGAGAGCCAAACCAAAGAGAAGAGTAGAAACAGAGAGGGAGAAAAGAGCAGTGCAACCGAGCAGAAAGGAAAAAAAAAATCAGAGATTTGCAGTAGACAGAAGCAAACTAGGTATTTATTATTAAGGATTATTTTTTTATTTTCCGGTATTTCTTATTTTCTTGCGTGCTTCTATTGAGATTTGTGTCGCCTCTCTCTCTCTCCCTGCACATCTATTTCTTTGGGCTGTTCTTTCAGTTCTCACAAGTCCATTTCACGTATCTGCAAAAAATCGAAAATAACCCAAAAAAGATCTTTGTCATGTTCTGAGGAGATAAATCGCAGCCATAGATTCGTCATCCTGTTCCCTGTTTTCTTGATCTTTTGTTGCTCTTTTAATGTTTCAGTTGGTTATCGGGTTTCCCTTTCTCGTTACAAGGAGGGGCAGGGGGTTTTGCTGAAGAACAGAGAGGAGAAAAAGGAGGTGGGATTGACGGATTTATGTCGGCTGGTTTTGATCTGTTGATTGGAGCTATTGAGCAGCTCTGGCTTTCTTCTCTGTTCCTTTTGTTCTCAAGCTTCTGCGCTTTCCTCTTCACTCAGTGTCTCTGCATGCGACTTTGGTCCCTCCTTCACTGGTCGAAAAAGGGGCTGCCAAGCGATTCGATGTGCTTGAGGTTAAAACGGTACGTGATGTTCGTAGATGAATCGTTCATATGCAGTTGTTTTTCTTTACTCATTCTGTTTTTTATGACGTGGATTTTTAATGGGTTTTGGGGGTTTTGCAGGACTGGTTCTGGAGTAGAATGCTTTGTGGGTTTTCATATAAAGCGTTGTTTATATCTCTTTTTGTTCTTGAGAGGGGCTCTTACTTGATACTGGGGTTTTGAGAGAGTGATTTCTTTCTATTGTGTTTTTTTCTCTGAAAATTTTTTTGTTCTTTTTTTGTGGAGTTGGGATTTGCGGAAGGTTTTCTTTCGCATTCTTTTAGAAATGCCAGGACCTCAGAGGCCACTCTTGAATCAGGACAAAGTCTGTAAGAAGCAGAAGAAGAAACCCTGCCTAATTAGTGGACTAGAGGACGTAGAAACCAAAACCATGAGAAAAATCCGTGTTATCTATTGCGATCCAGATGCGACCGATTCTTCGTCCAGCGAAGACGAAGCGGGCATGAAGAGGAATGGAAGGGTCCGATGTAAGCGTCTGATTCGGGAGATTCGTGTTCCAGCGGCTCAATTTCAATCTTCTTTTGCTGAAACAGAGAGCTCTTCTCAAGACAGTAATAATGGGGGCAAAACCCTTAACAAGACTGGCAAAAACCCTGGCAGAAGGGTTTTATCGAAGACATCCAGATCCGGTTCTTCCAAGTACAGGGGCGTTCGGCAGAGGAGATGGGGCAAATGGGCTGCTGAGATTCGAGACCCTATTCGAGGGGTTCGAGTCTGGTTGGGTACTTACGGTACTGCTGAAGAGGCTGCTGAGGCCTATGAAGCCGCTTCGAGGAAACTACAGTTAGAAAGTGTATCTCATGCACAGAAGGCTAGCAACAACACATCTTCGTCTTCCGCAGCAGGTTCCATGTCTCAATCTTGTGTCTCGGAAGATTCAGAGAGTCTGTTTTCTCACTCATCCCCTTCTTCGGTCCTCGATGTTTCAACTGCAGTATCACATGTTTTTGGCCCTGGCACCCAAACCAAGGAAGATAAACATTCCACAAGGAATCTCGAGTTGCAGCAGCCTCACCAGCGACAATCTGAAGAGCAAAACCAACAAGCCATCTCTGATTTCTTGGAGGACTCCTTGCCAGTAATTACGTCTCCAATGGTAGAGGATCTTGAGCTGGGGTTCCAACTTGATTCGTTCCTTGTCAATGATTTTGGGCAGGCGTTCGAAGATTTCTGCGATTTCAGTGACATTCCACTGTGTAGATTTGAGGACCGTGACCCCAGTGAACTTCCCAACTTTGACTTCGATCTCAGCACTGAAGAGCTGGCCTGGATCGACGAACCCCTTGGTGTTGCCTGCCCATAAGTTTTGTAGCTAGGAGTTAGAACTATTGTCAATGCAGTTATAGTTTTTCTTTTCTTTTTCTTTTTTATCCGGGTTATGTGAAGAAGTCTCGGGAGCTTGAAGGAAAAAAGCTCTGTGAGAGATTGTTTCGTGGCTGAGTTTGTTTATTTGCTTGTATAGAGAGATGGGTTCACAGAGTTTGAAGAGAGGTCTTGGGTTTTTCTGTGCTTATAGAGCCGTCCCAAGATTTTCAACTCTCCCCGATCAGAGTGATAGAGAGAAGTCAGAGAACCGTTGAAAATTTTGCTCATCCCATCCCTCTGTTTTGATTTTCCGTCATTGAACTCTGTATTTGGATTTTCTATTTTAATATAATATATGGTATATATGCGTAAAGTATTAATGTGGATTTCTATTGTGCTTGTATTAATGTGGTATAATATATGGTATCTATTAGCTAAATTGATGAATTATTACAGGCTTTTCCTTTTCTGAAGTGTTTAAATCCCTGTGAAGGAGATGGTAGAGTTGATTGCTACTGACTACTGGCAATGGCAATCTCTAGTTAAGGCCATTCAGCTATGTCAACTCTGGGTTATGTGTGAGGGAGAACAGCTTTTTGGGGTATTATGAGAGAAGAGGTGGTCGTGCGAGGTACTGAGGTCTGAGGCTGCCTGAGGGTGTACAGAATTGACAGTCATCTGGCTTGGCTGGCCTTGGGGAACTCCTCTGCTCTTTTGACACAGTTGCAGCAGTCTTGCAGATGAGGCACTGCTTTATGGTCGGGTTGGCTTCTTGGGGTGGGGGTGGTGGATCATTCTAGTCTTTATTCCTAGCCGTTCAAATGGATGTACCTATGTTAGTGATAAGATTGGGTGGGGGTGTTGGATGTCTAGGCTGCTGGTTATCTGTCTAATGTGGTTGTGGTTGTGGACCATGGAATGCTTCTTTGTTGAACACCTTTCCACCTCAGCTGCCATGTGTCGAGTTTGTTGTTTTCTATTGAGACCCTTTTTTCTTCCTTAATTAAGCCAGCAGTTGAATTCTTGTGAGACTTTAGAATATGAAATACTTTTGTTAGTTGGTTTGATGATTCATTTCAACCTGTAGGCTGTAGCGTGTCATTGCTTTGAGAAGAGGCAATTCCAAGTTTTCAACGCATGGCCTTGAATCAGTGACTTTTTCTTATTCTTCCTTTGACAGGGCCTCTAACAAATAAATTTCTGGCCTTCTGGGTGGTGGTGAAAGCTCCACCAGTTATCATTGAACTGAGAAAGATATTTAGAGCTGATTTCTGTATCACCTTTTGCTTGTATTTCAGTTCAGGGAGCACTGGGCCAGTATGCTCTGCTCTTCTAATTAAATAATGGAATGTTACTTGTTCATGTGACTCCCTAGTCCCTTGTGAAATGGGTGAAAATTTTTTCATGCCATCTTTACTCCATGGTATTGGTTCACGACTTCACGTCACAAGGAAGATCATCCTCATCAATTTTTTTTTTTTTTTTTTGTTCTCTCTCTCCCTCCCCTATTTCACGTGCAGTTGCACGTGCCATTCAACTAGTTAAGTGTAAAGTGTATGTAATATCAGTATATATAATGGGAAATGGGGATTGGGGGAGGCGCGAGTGGACTGATTTCCAACCAGCATCTGTCCCAGCATTCAATTGTAGAGGAAAAGTCCCAACGTCCGGAAACCAGGGGGGCCCACCGTCTGTCCACCCAAACAGTATAAAGTCGTAAATTCATAAATGTAAAAGAATATTACCGGCGAGCAGTCGTGGACTATTCCGGCAGGGACTCTGGGGCCCTCTTTAATGTGAATCTCGTGAACATGTCGATGATCGGGGAATCAAATCAAGTGGGCGCTAAGACTCCATTGGACATCAGTTGGACCAGAAAATCAACCACAGACAGCTACCTAAGTCTCAACGGTGGAGCAAATTTGTATTAAATCTTTTAATGATGATAACTTTTGCTGTGTACATCTGATCCATCATCGCTTCTTCTAAGTATCCACTGCCTGTGGCCCCAGACGACACAAGTCAGTCCCATTTGTTAAAACGTACCCACTCGAATTTTCCTTGCAACTTCCTTAACAAACAGTACTGTGCATGTGCTTTCGTTGGGTAGAGAGAGAGAGAGAGAGAAAGAGAGCTTGAAAATCAAACACAGAGAAGGGGACATTTGTTGTACTGGTTGGTAGCTACATGGTATCTTCGTTTCTGTGCCAACTTCCACGCTCTGAGAATCCTTAGAATCTTTTTGCTTTGCCGTCTTTTACTATTTACTCAGCTCCCCCGGTCCCCCCCCCCTTCCCTCGTTCCAGTTTGTTAATTATTTTAATCCAAACGTGTGACCCTAATCCTTATTGCTTAGTTTAATTAATTAGGTAATTAATCGCTCTATCACGCCTAATTTGGAAAGCAGAAGGAAAACATCTTACATCTATAGTCATATCATATGGACCACATCCACACCGTTTGGGATGCTGTTAAAATGAAGGGCACATAATATATATCCATCTCCAACGAGGGAACAGTGAGATAACTACGAGTCACCTCACCAGTCACCAGCAGCCTTAATGGTCGGTCGGTCCCAATGGAGTCCGGTTCTGCTGCTTGCCACGCTGTGTCACGACTCACGGGTTACGTAATTAAATCACCAACACAACACGCCATATACATGGGATGGGATCCATACTTGTGTGTATGGAACACTGACGTGTTCACTCATGATTGGTTACACAAATATATCGTGGCGAGCAGCAGATCCCAAGTCGGTCTCATCTCATGCCCCTGACTAAAAAGTAAAAACTAAAGAGGAAGAAGATTATCCGGTTTTGTCCGGTCTGGCCCAGATTGGTATGGCAGGCCATTATTTTGTGGCCCAAAAACGTTCTCAGTCTTATGACTAGCTAGCTAGCTATTCAATATTCTATCATTCTGTGGCTGCTGGGCACGGAGTCGGAGAATTTAGCCCAGGAAAGGACAAACCAATATTACTGGACAATGTATAATTTCAAGGGATATTTTCTAAATGCCGCCTGCATGAAAATAACGTGCTTGGAGTTTGCAGGATTACAGAGATTAGTCTAAATCATGTGCAGGTTGATTATATTTGAGTCAGCATCGCTGTATTAACAATTGAAACGAACCTACATCGATCGTGTAATGTAATAATCCAATTAATAAGAATTTATCTACATATACAATAATTGAAGTGAGCGTGAGAGCCCAAAATGGACAATGTGTAGTGTAGGGCCTCATTTTATGTATATCCATACCAATCGATTGAAACAAGTCAGACTCAATTCAAACTTAGATGTCTGCGGCCCATGACACCCAGGTCTTACCATCCCAGAAACTGAAGCTGACTTTATTCAATAATCCAAAATCATCTCTACATGGACATGGACAGCTTCTTTTATCATCCATTTAATCAGGACTGTTTTGGCTTACTGTTTGGAACAAGCAGACACACGGAATAGGTTGAACCGTTCAATTCAACCAAAGTTTGTTTTGGGCTAGCAGAGTAGCAGATGAATAGAGGATGGCTCCAACGTCCAATCCATACTCTGGGTAAGTGGGCGCCACAAGCACAAGGGAACTCTAGACTCTAGTTAGTGAGCGGTCCTTGTTATGTCTTTCTTTGAATGTGAGAAGGAAGAAAAATGTGTAGAAGATCGCTGTGACTAGTGTTCTTTTCTACTAGCTAGGTATCTACTAGAAATCTAGAGCTCCACTCCAAGGGTGGACTGAATCTGACTGGATTGATGCTAAATCCACGGGCAGAATGCGGTTTATAGGGGGCGGGGGGCTACTAGAGAGTAGGAGGGGGCTGCAAATCAGATTTCCGACTAAATAAAAGGAGAGAAAGAGAGAGCGCTATGTGCTGGACATGCTAACTGCCGTTCAAGACTTTTTGGTTGGTAAACGATTTGACAGGACCAACAGTCCCAGCGTTAGCTTGACGTTGTTGCTCCAGTCAGTGTTCCACCCTATAGGCTATAGCAAATTCTTACCATGGAAGCGGAAAGCTTGGTCTCCACTCTCCACACTCCACAGTCCAAAGCCCTTTGAGCGTGTGCGAATAAGGGGAGGTTAGTGGGTAGGTCAGTTTGACAATTGTAATACTCTACTAGCAAGTGGCAACAAATGCATCCATTGCTAACCTCTTGTTAAGTACACAACTTTCTCTTATGCACTCCAACCCTTACCCAGTAAAAAAAGTAAACAAGAAGACCCATTTGACCAGATTCAGATTCTGATGGTTCACCCCTAAATGCAAATCTTATGTTACAATCCTTATCCTATGCCATGCTCTCTATCCAGGATGTTAAACTTCAAACCTGCAGGCTACTTTCCTCCAGCATATCCAGATGGCGAAGACCACAGATTGTATATATATTTTTTGGATGTGCCAACTCAAGGCCAAAACACAACTATTATCTTGATGCTGACAAATAGAATAACATTTCCTGCATAAATTCCCCAACGATGAAAGCCCTTATATTTCCTCTATTAAGAATGCACCTTACCACGTGGCCAAAGACAACTATGACATCTGTCAGGCAGAGCAAGAACCAGAGAAACCTGGGGGAAAATGAGAAGGGAAAATACCTTTTAACTTCTGCTTATTGTTCCTATAGTAAGTGGAGGAGGTGCAGAGTCGATCTAATTCTAATAGACAGTTTGAAGACACTCCCAGTCCCATATCCTGAACAGAACTTCCATAAAAGTGCAAACTTCGCAATTTTGATAGAACTGTAGTTTACATACTGAAGCTTTCATGGACATGAGACATATTGGTAATTAATCCTGATATCAGATACTGTGACACAGTTTCACTTTGAAGCTTCCGTTAATCCTTGTGTTCGTCTGATGGAAATAAAGTACATAATATACACCTCTTGGGAGTTAGGACTTAGGACCCCTCTCTTTTTTCTGTTACAACAGAAAATGCACCTCTTTAAGTTCTGCCTCTGCTGAAACTGTGTTTTGAGAAGTCTAGATACTCATGACAGTGAATAATTTCAGATTTTAAGAGAAGCCAAACAAATACTGCTGAAACTGTTTTCCTTTTGTGACAACTAAGCACGATGCCTTGACATCATCAAGCATGAGTATTTTGAACGGGTCCATATATAAAAAAATCATAGCAGGTCCAATCAGTCAGAAGTTGGTCATGCATCCTCTGTTAGATATTTTGACAGGATATGCTAATCAAGGCCAATTGCTGTTATCTGCAAATGCCAGTTCACATACCAGAGCAAGGTGATCACTACCCCACTTCTGCAGATAAATAATGTCAAATCCACATGAGAAAAAAAGCAATCTCAAAAGGAAAACAAGAAATTATCTAGGATAAAATATATTAGAGAATTATTTAACTTCGATATAAATGCAAAGAACGCCATTGTCCACTTTTCACATAGATACATCAAATGCTACATGTAGTTATCAAATCATAAATTGAGATAAAGTTAGACCCAGAACTACCTCAATTTCATCCCCATGTATTCTATTTTATTTTGTTTCTTGACAAATTGTTGCATTAATAAAATAAGAATGGAGCTTAGCATATAAGAAGCAAATTTAGCCCACCACTCAAGCCCAACCTTTCACATAATCAGAACCATGAAATCTTTCAAGAAGCTTGGTTTGGGTAATCTATTAAAAAAACATAGCAAAAAGAACTTTCTCGATGCTGTACGATATTAAACACCAAGATATTATAAATGCTATATTGCTATTGCCAGTGGCACTGCTGTCAGGTTGCAACCTCATCTCCCCTCTGGTATTAGTTGAGCCCTTCTCACTAGCGAACTATGAGACAAAGAATCTCTATTAAGCTCCTCGCAAATTCATTATAACACAGACCTCTGAATTCATCAGATGCCAACATCCAAAGATGTAGCATAAAGATACTTGACTCTTTAAAGCTTCAAAGAAGTCTATCCTCCCATGCCTCCCAGGTCACTGCATGAATTATGGTTTTCTAATAAACTAGATCGTTTGAGCCTAATCCCAAAGGTCTCGACCATTGTAGCATTTCTTTTAGACTCCTAGGGGCCACAAATTCCAACCTAACAAGATCCAAGAAAAACTTTCAATGATGTCCACTAATGGTGCAATGCAAGACTAGATATGAGATAGGTTTTTCCTCCCTTAGTCACATAGGATAACTTCAAGGAAGATACAGAAAGGTACTAGCTTCTTCTTGAACAATCTTATCAAGTGTTTTGATATTTTCACAGGTACCCACAAAAAGAATACTCTTGGTGGCACAACAAATGGGAAGATCTGTTTTTTTCTGGGAAGACTATTGGGTCAGAAGATAAACTAGGGAGGAAGAAAGATTTCATTGAGAATACTCAGTGGTCAGTTTCTGGACAAGAGAGAAAGATTTCCTCAAGGGAGTCAAAGAGAATACAGTTTACTTAATTTCAAGGCCTCTTAATGAACTTCTAAGGTTGAGATTCTTATTAACCCCTTAATCCTCCATATGGGTTTTTTATAAAAAAAATAAATATGTTTTTTGAATATGCTCATGAGCAATTAGCAGCATTTGGATACCTAAAGCAAGACATATGTCCCTTTCATAAAATACGCAGTAAACACCTTCTATCATTGTTCAACTGAAATATGAATTACAAAGCCTAGAGAAAAAATACCTCACTTGGGAGCCCTCCAGTTTCTCTCAAAATATTGACTGGTAACGTTTCAATAACTCCTACCGGAATGAGTTCTCGAGAATGCCTGTAAATTATAGAAATAAGAAACAGAATTCCAAATCCACCAATCAAAAAGAAAAGAAATGCTTTTAATGATAATAATTAGGTCACCAAATATAATCAACAGTTCCCATAAACTTGGAATGATATGAAGTTGCCAATGGTTCTTCATTACTGTCTCTTGTTCTGCAACTCCCCTGTATAATGGCAAACATTCTTTTTTGATAAGCAACAGTACTGTGTAATAGTGAACATAATAATACTTAATAAAGGAAAAGTGATCCAGAGTATAGTGACAATTTCTAAGATGAGAAATGGAAAGGGAGGAATTCCTATAACCACAAGTGTTATTACCTGGAAATAACTATTAATAGTCTGTATCATAGTTTTCAAGGCACCAAGGCGAGGCTAGGTGACAGGGGGGCGCCTTGTCGCCTAGTCGCCTAGGCGATGGATTTTTTTTTTTAAGTAAGAATCACATATCCTAGGGTAGTTCCCTAGGTTCCATAACCAACTTCCTTTAATAACTATCCATAATTTTCATAAGAAAATTATAAACTTCATGTTTAAGTCTAGAAAATCAACATATTTATGAGAAGAAAAAGAAGAAAGGAAAGAAAATTCAAAAAATATAGGGGCTGAACCCCTATTTTGTTATAGGAAAAGAAGAAAACAAAAGGTGGAAGAAGAAGATGCGGAAGAAGAAATGTGTTGATTAGACAAAATTTTAAGTTCTTCCCTTACTTATTGGTTCAGATTTTGAAGTCATTGAGGGTTCAATACAGCAGTTAGCAATGCTTGTGTTGATTAAACCCTAACAAATAAGAAAATAATAAAAAGAAATTAGTTTATAAACATAAAAAATGAATAATTTTCTTTAATAATGTCTATTTTATAATTATAATCTCAAAAAATAACAAAATAAAAGTATTTTATTACACAGTATGCAAAACTGCTTGGCGATTGGGTGAGGCGAGCCTCCAAGGGCACCTTGTCGCCTTGACAACTATGGTCTGTATGATAATATTAGGAGAGAGGTGAATTGATCCAAAATATAAGAAAGGTAAAGAATCAACAGATGGGAAAAAATGAGATTCACATGAGCACTTACTGCAACTCCTCTATACACACTGGAGAGCTTTAAATGATGGCGGAGATGAGTGATGCCGTCACAGCCAGTTGCAAGCCGTATTTCTTCTTGGCTCCATCTATATCTCAATGGTCTTAAGATATAGACATTTGAACACCGCCAATATATGTAGATCAACAAAGATAAGTAAGAAACCTGACATGTATTTACTTCATTTTTTTTTTAAATTAGGAAATAAATGAACAGGGAATATTTTCAGCACAGGGGAGTTATAGAGACCTGTATGAATCCTCCCTCTGAGTTTTGAAGTGTTTCAGTCCTATTGGGTATTCAACCTGACCAGAAATTTTTCTGCGATCATGTAATAGGATGTCCAACTGCAATAAATGACAATATCCTTTTTATTCCTCCAGCAAGAATTTTTTAACCTGACATTTTTGGATACCTAAAAAGGAAGATACTGATAGGATAAAGATACAAGCTTCACATGACACTAAGTTACAAATAAAACTTACCTCAGATGAATCCAGAAACCGATATATTGCACTCTGATAAGAAGAAATCACATCTCCAATTGTGTCAGAAATAGTCATATTGGATTTTATAACTTAATCTGAATTTTTTCTGTGGATTGTTAAGTTTGAAGCATTATGAGATACCACCTGTGGTATGCTATTTAGGTCCCCAGCAATTACAACAGGGATGTTGCCCCATTCCTGTGATATTCTGTGGGCATTATCAAGAAATAGTCGGATCTGTGACATTGTGGCATAGATAGTATATAAGTACATGCTACCACCATTTGAATTTGATATAAACAACTGTAGAAAAAATGGAATTCAACGGAAATAAAACGTTCCTGAAGGAGAGACAGCATAAACATTCTAGTACCCTGTTTAGGTTTACATGATAAAGGAAGAGAGCATTGTAGCATGTAATACATTGATTAGAGAAGGTGCACATATGTATTGTCTTGCATCTCATTTGGGCTGCGTGCAAATGCAGGTTCGAGTATGAGAAAAACAAAACTGCCAAAAGTTAGGACCGTATCCAGCCTACCCCTGCCAAGATCCCAGATAGCTGGGACCAACATCGGGTAATGGCCTTTCTAGATTAAGTCAAGGTCCCCCTGACCCCAATGCTGTCTCCTTCCAAATATATGTATGCAAAACATCCATTCAAAATATATGGCCCAAATAACAACTTGGAAGGAGGAATAACAGACTTGGGGATAATTACTGCTAGCCTGGCACAGAAGATCCACCCTCATCGGGGCCAAAAAATTCTGGGTCTGGCTTTAGGTTTTCTGTCTAAGTCTAGCCACCCACATATAAGATGGGACAGGCCTGGGCCTATATTTCAAGCCCAGTGTGTGGGCTGGGTTGTGCCCAGGCTTACACAAGACCCCTTAAACTAGTTGCCAGGTCTAGCCCTGTGGCCCATGATTACCTATGGATCCCAGGGGACCTGATACTGATAAATTCATATGGGACGCCAAGGCTCATATCTATGTAATTAACGTGCTAACTCCTGTGGTCTTCACTACCATTATTAAACATAAGAACAATTTTCCACCAAAATGGGTGGTAATCATTTTGTGGAATGTCTAAAAGATGTGAAGTATATTATTCACAGAGTTCATTAAATTCAAATAGGGAGTTATATCAGTAACCATGCACTGCTAATGTATCTTGTGGAGAAAACATGTGGATCCAAAATCCTATTTGAAACCAAGTGCAAGAATTAGATGACTAGAGATGTGGCATTTCCCAATTATTTGGATGGTCAAAAGAAGAAAGAAAAAGGTAGAAAATACAATATCTACACCCTTTGAATAAGTTCATCCAAATGCTGTGATCTGAACCAAGGTTTAGAATGTCAGTGTCAGTGGAAATATCAAGCATCCAAATATTGGAACTATATTGGAAATGTCAGAAACATCATAAAATATTGTAAAAATTATAGACATTGTGGAAACATTGTGAAACATGCAAAAATCTAGCATGCTATTTTATGTAATGATAAAAGATGCATAGGTAGACCCTTTAAAATATTATCTTCTTCCAAACCATCAAAACTATATGATATAGTGAGTTCAAGCAAAATTTAAACTCATAAGTTGCAATAATTCTAATAAATCAACCAAATAATTTATCATACAACAAAAACTAAGATTTAACTTCATGTTTGAAAATAATTTTCAAGCTGGTTCAAAGTGGTAATCATGTCCGTTAGGTGGAGAATAACATTTTCACATATCTAAAATATTATCAAATATCAACTTATGTTATAATACTATCGCTTGTACTCCACATTGCACCAATAGCTTTCATTGAGGAATATGTCAATTTTAGTAATATTCCGCGTTGGTACCCATGGAAATGGAAATATTTCATGGAAATTTATGGACATTTTAAATCATGGTCTGAGCAAAACATGTTCAGTATAATTGTGCTTATGCCCATGGAAATATTCCGCGTTGGTGCCCATGGCTTGCAAATGAGTAGTCATAGACAATATCATAAAGCGCTTAAAAGAGACTTATCAATTCTTACATCTGAAAGTTAAACACTCCATAAAGAATTTCACAAATTCCAGACAGTAGCTACACCAACTTTTTTTTTATGCACTGCATAGTCCTCTGCATTCTTACTCTCAGATATATATGAGAATATCTGAAACACTAGTTATTGGGAGTATGGAACATGTAGTCTTTTGTAGTTTTCACCAATTCAATGAACAAAGCATAGGAATTAATGTTCCTATCTTTTTTTTTTGTTAAATAGTAATGTCCCTATCATTAGAATTAGCACTAATTCTCCTTCAGTTTTAGGGGCAAAATAATGTAAGATACTATGTATGTTGTTATTTATGGGATTTGGAGGAGATAAATGCTGGGATATTCCAGAACTGAGATGATCCCATGAGAATTGATGTAGAAGATTTTGTTTCCATAAGAGTCATCCAAAGAATCTAAGATTTGGACACTATAGGAGGCATATGACAGATTCTTTACTAAAATGCTGGAAAAATAATTTTTCTAACCTATCTAACCTCATGGGTAATAAGTTTTGAAAGATTACTGAGTTTTTATTTTCATGTTGAAAGTTCAACATTAAATCATTCAGACTTCCCTTGATTATTTAAATCACAAAACACATCTAGATTATAACATATATTCTGCATTACTGCTTGCTGTTATAGCAATTATTATTTATTTGTTTATATGTACATCATGTCCAACTGTCCATGGACCAATATCCAGGCCTAAGCCTCTATATCCTAGGATTTTGTATTTAAAAAGATTCAATTCAGAAAATATACCAGCACTTGATAGATGCACTGGAAGCCATGGAAAATATGTATAAGAGATCAGAAAACATTATACCTGGCCCAGCTTGATATCTCCACGATTTGGATTAAATAGCATGTGTATGTTTCCGACAAGGAGACTTCGAGCAGGTGAAGTCCTATGCAAAATTGAATTCGAATATTGGATCAAAAAAGAATTAGCAATATGAAACTATAGCTCACCAACATAACATAATATCCAACTTAGGTATTTCAATGAGTAGTTCAATTGTTTGAAACTCCTTGAAGTGTAGCAAAAATAGAAAAATAAATCCAAAAGATCATATCGGTTCAAATGTCCAAATCTATTAGACATGCCTAATATGTTGTGAAGTCTGAGGTGATGGGCGGGCAGTCAAGAGATAACATCCAGAAAATGAGTGTATCAGAAATGCAAATGCTAAGATGGATGAATGGAAAAACTAGAAAGGATAGGATCAGAAGTGAAGTCATCCAATATGAACCCAGGAGTAGCTTTAATAGGTGATAAAATGAGAGAGGGTGGACTATGATGGTCTGGTCACATGCATAGAAGACCACTAACAGCTCCAATTAGAAGTGATTTGTTACAAGTTGAAGGGGCTAGAAGATCTAGGGGTAGACCAAAAAGGACATGGATAGAAGTAGTAAGAAATGGTTTAAGCATTAATAATTTAACATGGATTTGGCTTTTAAATAGAACAGATTGGTGAAAGAGGATTCATGTTGCCAAACCCATATAGTTGGGATAAGGCATGATGATGTCTGAGGTGATGGATGCATGACTATATGTATTTTTTTTTTTTTTCTGGATAAGTATGCATGGGCATATGTATAAGATATACATATGGAATGCCATCTTTTATTAAATTATGTTTTATGAATATTTTCTAAACAAATCTATACTTGGAACAAAGGCTTCTCTTTTACTCACTCTGATGCCTGTGCCTCTGACCCATGGTGTGAGCTTGAACAATGGTTATTCATCTGTATTAAAGACCCAAGGAAAGTAAAAGAGAAAAAAAATCAATCTAATTGAGAAAACAACATAGGAGAGAAATGGTATTTTATTACCCTAGAGAAAAATCAATAATTTGAAGCATAATGATTTCCATCTTGCTTTTCTAACAGCAGTTATATGCGTTTATCTTGATGACATATTCTAGGAAAAGGAGAAAACATGGCAGAACAGATATTGGAACTATAGACAACAAATTGTCCACATGGCTAGAATGAAAAAAAAAAATCCATATTCATCCCTCATCCAATCAAGACTAAAAAAATATACCCATAAGATGATAAACATAACAAAAGCTAACAAATGAGATGTACAGTATGGACTTTTTATATGAAAATTATAAACCAATTAAAGAAAAACTCCATGAAAAAAAAACACAACTAAAGGAGCTTAATGTAATTAACAATAACTGGATAAAAACAACTATAATTATATTGAAATAAAGTAACAAGAAATAGTTAAATTTGCAGCATCAACATGCTTCTCTTCCTGCACTTATTTTAATAATCTGCCTTTATTTAATTTCAGCCATTCTGTTTGAAGCTAGAAGATCAACAAAAAGGTCATTGATAATTTACAAGTTGAAGTTGCTACAATAGATATATAGAAATAAAAATGAACACCCAATTATATGGGGTCAGCTACACGAATCCTATTTCACCATTCCATTCTGTTTAATGCTGTATCCATTGTTAAATTATGGGTGCTTAATTCATTTCTTATCACTTCAACCCATGTCTGTTTTGGTCATGGTAAGTAACTTCAATTGATTGGTAATAATCACCCAATTATGTCCTAAGACATGGTACATGCATGGGACATCATGAAGTCACAACAATCTGTACCTTTCATAAATAAATTATTGCTGGTGCATTTTATACTGTATCACGAGATGCTTCAGATTATGCTTGCAACTCATAGTGCATTAGGCATTTCTTGAGAACAGAAACCTCTGGTTGAAAATGTCATGGAGGTCTGCAACTTATCCTTGCCTAGGTGACACAAACAAGAAGAAAACCATACATGATGAAAGGTTAAGCCGTTAAGGTGATGCATAATAATTTGGTAATACATGTATGGTAGGGAAAATTGTAGAAAAAATTGAGACTTAGTTCTCAGAGTCTCAGTTATAAAGAAAAAAATTCCCTTGAAGATTTCATCTTTGTGATAATATCCCAAAGTTCTTTTACCTTTCTTGAAGACACTTCACCTCAAGTTAGGCTAAACCTAGGATTTATTGCCTTCTTTTTGAGCAAAATTAACTGAGAATTTATTCATTAAAAAGGTACATGAGAAGATGTACAAGAGCCAGAGAAGGCTGAGACAAAATTACACAGGTAGAGTTCTATTACTAAACATATTTACTTTATGAACACCAGATTTAGCTAGGCTGTCAGCTGCAGTGTTTAGTTCCCTGGAATCCAAATCAGCTTCACATTCATTGAGTCCATGATATCTCTAGCTTCAGCCACAAAATGGGCCAGCCTCCAAGGCCCACCATCCTTATCCCTAAGCCATTTTATAGAATTGACAAAATCACCTCCAAACCCCTGCGAGTGCAGCCAAGATCTCTGCCTTTGTAGAATCAGAATTCCCTATTGGACCACTGAAAGCCCAACAGATATTCCCCTCTCTTCCCCAGATTACTCCACCATTTCCTGCTGCACCTGTAGTCCCTTAAGGCACTTCCATCAAAGTTTAGTTTCATCACTCCCTCCTCCCTTGAACAATGTCTTGAGTGTAAGAACATGATAGGCCCCCAATTAACTTTACGTATGTCAGGAAGGGGAAAGGTCAGCTTTCGGCTAAGGGGGGAAATAATTGAACATGGGGGCAATTATAGCTGGAGGGAATAAGGAGAGTCTTGAGGCATTTATAGCTCTGTCAGTTAGGAATAAAAAGAGTATGGGCATTTATAACTTGGCCAGCTGGGCATTTATTGAGGGAGTCAGTTATGCTGTGAGAAGAGTATAAGAAGGCACTTTGGGGGATGGGGGAGAGAAGGCTTTTGTTGAATGAAGAATACTGTGAGTGATTGGGAGAGCCGGCAGTCTCTCGAAGAACCAACCAACTGTTAATATTCTTCTTTTCTTCTGAATGAATACCAGTTCCTTTGTTGATGTTCTAGTTGTGTGAATTCTGCTGTGAATCTGAGAACTGTGTGTCAAATTTTGGGACATATCAGAACACTCCCAGGCGAAGAATAGAGGACTTCTACTGGGTTTCTTTGAAGATTATTCAAAGAGATACCTTTGAAATTTCCAGAATTAACTGCCCAAAAGTTACATAAATAGGTAATGAAGGAAATCAGGTCTTCAACATTCCTGGCTTTGTTTTTGTTAGAGTGAGCCGAATAGGGGTAGTTTAGTAATCTCATGTCAGTTAAGTACTTTGCTTATGTGGTTGTTTTATTAGAGCACTCTGCCCCACACTTAAGTGTGGGCAGTTTAGTCTTTGTAAGTGTAATTAGAACCTAATAACATAAGGGGGTCGACTGAATGGGTGACTAATCAGTTTCGACAAAACCCTCCTGTTCTCTCTTTCTCTTGTCTTCTTCCTCATCTTCTTCTTCCTTCTTCACTGGTTCGGATTACTGTAGCTGCTCCAAAACAGTTTTCAAATATCCTGTTCCTTTCTTCCCATATGCCCCAAAACACTGCATGAGCCACTGTGCTCCAATAATTTTTTTCCTCTTCTTCCTAAGCCTTTGCCTTGCCATTGTCATAGAAACTCCACAACCTGCTCAGGATATACCCAACTGTAGCCAACTAAATGAGAAAATAACACCAAATCTTCCTAGTTACAAGGCAGTGAAGAAGTAGGTGCTCAGCCGTCTCATCATTACTGAGGCAAAGAGTGCAAACATGAGGCAAAATACACAGTCTGCGTTCTTCTGAAGCAGGTCGCAAATGTTTATTTTCTTATGACAAGCCTCCCACACAGAAAAGGAAAGGGATGTGTAAGCACCAAGCCTTCTTAACTAAGAAGTTTGAACCCTGATCATCCAACACTAGAGCCTTGAAAAAAGATTTAGTTGAGAACTTACTGGCAGGAGTAATTATTATTTTTTTTTATCAGTAACAAGATGCTTTATTAAATAATAAAATTTGTGAAACTTCAAGTACAAGAAAGGGGAGATAAACTATCTTAACTCCCCCACAACAAGGAACAAAGAAGAAAGCTAAAAATTAGCACAAAACATAGATTCCTTAAGCGCCCCTTGCTTGGCTAACCCATCAGCCATTGAGTTAGCGCTTCTCTTCACCCAACTGTACTTCACCTCAATATCCCTACTCAGCCATTTAAATTTTTTCTTTTCATTTCTGTAGCTCCAATTGGGGGTAGAGCAGTTAATCATTGAAGGGGATTCCAAGGTGGTGGTGGGCTGGCTGAAAAACCCCGAGGGTACTATATGGTGCTACAAGAATGAAGTTAAAAAATTTAATTGGCTGACAAGGAATATGCTGGTCACTGTACAGTGGGTGGGGAGATCAGCAAACGCTTTGGCTGATGTGTTAGACAAACAAGGGGCAAATAGGGAAGAACTGTTTTGGGCTCAGCTGTGATTTATGTAATTTATTACTAATTTACTTGGAAGCTATTGGGAGAGGCTGCAGCTCGTGCCTCTCCATGGGATGTTGTATGAAATTACAATTTTAAATCAGTTTCTGAATTAATAAAATTTCTATTATTCATAAAAAAAAAAAAAAAAAAAAAAACTTAAGTTTCCAAGTCCTCTGGTCAGGGGTAGCAGGAAAGATGTAACCTCACTAAGAGAGTTTAACAAGTTTACAATTTCTGCAATCTCTACCTCTCTCAAGGGCTTTATGAGGTTTAGGTTCCAGTTAGTTTCTGAAGGTGGGTGAAGAAATAAAACACAAGGAAACAGTGGCTTCTTGGGTTTGAGAAAGGTTGAAGATTCTAGGGTAAGTGCTAGCTAGGGTACTCTCCCACCAAAGATCAGTCCAAAATTTTATTTTGTTTCCGTTTCCCACCTGATACCTAACAAAATCAATGAAGAGGTCATAGCTAGAAGAGATACCTTTCCAGGGGTTAGACAGTTAATCGCCTTCACCTGGTTCAAGTGGACCTTGCTTTCCCAACCATTGGCATACCTTCTGTACTTGCTGTTAATGATGGTTGTCCAAGTGGCTTCAATCTCAAGAGGGTATCTCCACAACCATTTTCCGAGAAGGGCTAAGTTCCTTTCCAAAATGTGCCCTATACCCAGCCTACCAGCTTCCTTAGGTTTGCATACCTGATTCCAACTAACTAAATGACTTTTCTTCCCACCACCTCCATCGCATGGTATTCTACTTGGAATACAAGCTGAAGTTATCCTTCCGAATCTAAAATGGTTATATTGAAACTTACCTCACTTATGGGTTCAGACTGGATAGAATACGTTAGGCTGCAATCCTGAGATGGTACTCTTATGTGGAAGCATCTTGGCACTGGAATATTCTATTTTGCATCACAGGGCTACTTTCCTGGTAATGAAAGCTAAATAAATTCTATTAGATTACAAGTCCAAATCTAACACTTATAGCCTAAGGAGGATATCATGCATTGTTCTCTTAGAGACATGCCATTACAGCCCAAAAAGAAATAGTATTTGGTCATGGCCCAGTGGCTAGTAATGTATAGGTAAAATGGCCAGAAATTCGAGCTGTTACATGAACTGTACTTTCAAAGTTAGACTAATATGATAATGCTTACCCAAAAACTAGCTTAGTAACTTCATTTAAGAGGTAATGAGGTATTATCCAAAGAAAAGTGTGCCATTGTTATTATCATCTAACCATTACATGGAAGGTAAACTCAGTTTTATTAAAATGCATGTCAATAAGTGCTCTTGCAAGTGCATGGAAAACTGAAATACAGATCCTGTTGCAAGCACATGTGTATAAATGCTCTTGTTCTTTTGAAAAGATGGTATGTTCATTCATTTTGATAAATATTGCTCTAACACTTTTGATTTAACCAGAAGCCAATTTTCATTATTACAAATACTTGTGGAGTTAATTGCATGCCATTTCAACCTAAATACCCACTTATGATAAGTTGGATATACTAGAGTGAGATAAAAGGAAACGTAATTAGTAGGCTTATTTTATAGCTAAAAAAAATACCAATATAGAAAATATATTTCTTTGATTGGTACAAATATAGAAAATATTCTGCATTTAGGAACAATAATTGTTAGGACATCTGCAACTACTAGAACACATGAACACAACCATACTATGGTACTCCACCACATATCTATTAACAATTTGACATCACATATCAGCATTTACAGGATGGTAATTTTAATATCTCAAACTGAGTGAGCTATTTCCTACACTGGAATATTGAAACACTTTAGAACAAAAAGTCCATGACAAACTCAAAAATGAAACATACCTTCAAAACACAAAGCTGTGCAACATTGTCACGAAGGCCAAACTTTTGGAATTCTATGTTCTCTTCATGCAAAAGGGTAAACCTGTATTTACATTTCAAAATAGATAAATGAAGAATAGAAATCGAACTTCAAATCAAACAAGAATGCATTTTAAAATATGTTTTATTGCACCCAATTTGCCAAGTTATTATTTCTGGTCAAACTAAATATAAGACTTCGGCTAAAAGATAAAGTCTATATTGCGGCCTTGAATTCTTTATTGCGGCCTACTCCAAGTTCTGACTCACATTAGTGGAGAAAAACCTGAACGCAAAATTTCGTAGTGGTTTGTGGTGGGAGCAGATGGACCTGATGCATTTTCGGCTTATGAGTCTGACCTGAATATGTTATGTTATGTTCTTGGGGCTTTTTCTCTTTTATGTATCTTTGACTTGCGTGAGAAGATAAGAGCAAGTATTGTGAATAAGAGCTTGGGTGTATTGGGGTGCTTTTTTTTGGAAAAAGGCAACGTAATATTTATTAAATCAAAAGATACGCAAGCAAGCTGAGATCAGTCCCAGAAAGGCCGACTGACCAAATCAGCAATTACATATTCCACCAAGAACTGGAATGAAAATCAACAGACAAATTACAATTTCTGAACTCCTCAGAGACGGACACCCAAGAGAATAATATGCCCACTGCTTTCTGGATTAGCTCTTCTGGACTTAAGGCTTTGTTATAGGAATAGTCTTCCACACTATCTTCCTTTTCTTGTTCAGCCCCTTAACATTCCAGCAACACAAGAGCTCCTTTACCGAACTTGGCATAACCCATCTTAAATTCATAGAGCTGAAGAAATGATTCCACAGCTGAGAAGAAAATGGGCAGTGACTGCACAAATGATCAGTAGTTTCAGAATTGTTCCCACACAAACTGCATGAGATGTCCAAAAGCTGAATGCCCCTTCTCACAAGATTAGCTCTAGCCAGACATTTGTTTAGAACCATAGTCCAAACTAGAAAATTGGCTTTAGATGGGCTAATGGGATTCCACACCTGATGGCAAGGGAAATCAGTGGCACCCAATCTACAAAGTTTAGAAGCCAAAGACTTGACGGAGAAGACACCATCTGAATTCCACTTTCAAAACCACTTATCTCCTGAGCAGAAATCAACCTCTTGGTTCTGAAGAATAGTTAACATGTTCAAAATCTCTTCCAACTCCCAGTCAAAAAGGTTCCTTTTTAAGGAAGGGGACCAAATAACTGAATCTCCAGATAAGCTGCAACACTCAGCAACAGAAGCCTCCTGGTTTGATGCACACTGAAAGAGGAGAGGAAAAGATTCAGCAAGGGGGCCATCCAAGCACCAAGAATCCTTCCAAAACTTTGTCCTACTACCATTGCCGACTTTAATTGAGATCCCAACAGCAAGAGCAGAGAAATGTTCATTATCCCCTTCCACAGAGAGTTTTCCCAACTTGGAGGAGGGTCCCTAGTTCTCCAGTTGCCCCACTCCACTCCATACTTACCGGCAATGAGAGATCTCCACCAGGCATCATTTTCAGCTGCAAATATCCAAATCCACTTACAGAGGAGAGCAGAATTAAAAGATTTCAACTTCCTTATGCCTAAACCACCTTCATCCTTGGGGAGGCAGACTTGATCCCAACTAACCAGATGGATTTTTTTTCTCCTCTTCCCAACCCCTCCAAAGAAAATTCCTTTGAAGTTTTTGAGCTTTCTTGCAACTTTGTTAGGAATAGGGAAAAGGGAGAGGAAATAGGTAGGTAAATTGGAAAGTGTGTTGCACAACATTGTATTACCCATTGCTGATTTTGTAGTGGATTTCTGCTCCTTTGCCCGTGGATGTAGGCTAGCTATAAGCCAGACCACGTAATTTGTGTGTATGTGTGTATGTGTGTGTGTTTTTTTAGTTCCTCTGTTTTGAGTTTTCTTTTTGTTTTCTCTATTCTTTTCCAATCAATTTCGGTCTTGGGTTTGTTTTGTCGTAACAAATAGTTGTAAGGCCTAGCTATGTTGTATGGAGTATTGGGCAATTAAGAAACAAGCAACATGCTAAAAAATGAGTGTGGTAGATATGTGAATGATTAGATGGATGAGTTGTAAAACTAGAAAAGACAAGGTCAGAAATGAAGTCATACAAAGGAACCTATAAGTAACTCTAACAGGTGATAAAATGAGAGAAAGTAGACTGAGATGGCTTGGTCACATGCATAGAACACCATGTACAGCTCCTGTTAAAAGAAGTGATCTATTACTAGTTAAAGGGGATAGAAGAGCTAGGGACAAACTGAAAAGGACTTTAGTGGAAGTAGTATGAAATGATTTAAGCACCCATAATTTAACAATGGATATGGCACTGAACAGAATAGAATGGTGAAGCAGAATTCATGTAGCCAACCCCATATAGCTGGGACAAGGCTTAGATGATGATGAAACTAAACATAAGACTCCTAACAAACCATGCAACAGAAATGAAGCAATTATTTCAGGCAATTTGCCTTACGTTTATTGGCATATTTAGAATTGTAAGAGCATAGACATGCCTTACATAAGACTCCTAACAAACCAATGTTCCAATGCTCATGAGGCGTGATCATGTGTGAATCCAAAACAAACCTTGTCTCTTGGCGTGCGATGACATAATAGTCTCAACAAAATGTAGGATGGTGACAAGTGGGGAGATTGGGAAAACCATGCTGGTTAGTACCTCACATCTTCACTGCAACTATTTATGCTGAGCTGGCTTAACTAACTAAGGAACTGATGATGTGCGATCTGGTCGCTCCCTGCTGGAAGGCAGCTCGGACATCGGACTAGCTACGTGGCTGGGTCGAACTGCAAGGCAAGAAGATCAAAGTGTTCCAGGGTACTTTACCCGGTGTGGGCACTCCGATGCTGAAGTTAGCGAAGGAGGTTTGAGAGAACTGATAGCTTTAGAATAATAGAATGCGAGAGCTAAATCATGTGTACCTTGTGAGGCTGGAGGTGAAGCCTTTATATAGGCAAGCTGCCTTGGACCTCACGATGCGTGTCTGAGATCACTGGCCCGTCTAACCCGGAGTTAGTTCTGCACTCGAAGATGGACTTTGAGTAAGTTGATAAGGCTTATCCAGGTCTGTCCGATTCGATTGGGCTAGAGATAAGATCCGTTGACGTGCGTCGTGATCCCAAGGAGATTGGAGACAGCTGGCTTGCTTCTAGAAGGAGGCTATGTGGCACCTTGGCAGGTCGATGAATGTGGCGAGCTGTTCGGGCCTCGGCCTAGCTGGGTGATCTAAGGTGTCCGAGGTGACTAAAACTGCTGAAGTGTCGCCAAGTCATTGCGTCGCTCCACGTCTCATCACGTCCTTGGACGGGCCAAATTATCCCTCATCAATTGCCCTCACTCCCGAGCCCGACGTAGTCAACTCGGGGCGGGAGTCTCAATGGGCTGAATGGATTTGGCCCGATCTTTGGTTCAGCTGAGGTCCAACCAACGGTTCAAACTTGATCAACTCAATTGGATCGACCTTAAGGGGCGAGATTGCGTCTCAGGCACACATGGACGTCGTGAGAACTATAAACTCCGCGGACGTCAAAAACGTGCTCAGCCGAATTCAGCCTCAGAATATGAACAATCGCAACCTTGGGAGCCATTAGATCTGTTTGATCTGGACCGTCTGTGGTCGTTTAAGGCAGCTATAAATAGGGCACTTTTTACTTCATCCCATTTTGAGCTCTGGTGCGTTTGGAGATCACGGAGCGTGTTGTCGTCAGTGTCTTCAATCCGGTCGACGAGGTCAGTCTTTCCTTCTTGTAGGTGAGTCATCTTCCTTTGCTCGTTTCATTTCTTTTCATTCCTTTCATTATGTCAAGTAGCGAGCCCGATGAGGTAAGGGTGTAGTCCGGTCTAGCCGAGGAGGGGACCTCGGTTCAAGACCAACGAGGTTCCCACAAAGGGGCTTCGTCTTCCCACCAACCATCTAGGCCCAAGATTTCGGACCACTTCGGTCCTACTGAGTTGTCCGCAGAGGAGATCCATAGTCTCGCAGCTCGGTACAGGTTCCCAAACCACTACAGCTACTATCTTGCTATAGGGGGTTTCCCTTGGGAGCATGATGAGGACGAGGTGGTCGTCTTCAAGGAGGCTCTGGAGGCAGGTCTCCAGTTTCCACTTCACCGCTTCACCCCTGCATCCGAACTCCATCCATACCCTGGTCGGTACAATTTCTCTTTTCTTTCACCTCGGCCTTCCCCTTGACATCAAGACCTTTGTCGGCCTCCACCAAATCAAACAGAACCCTGCTAGTACCTCGGGCAAGGTCAGTTACTACCTGTCTTACCGGCCCGGGTACAAACCTCTTCAAGGCTTTCCTTCCAAAGTCCTATCTTGGAAGAGTAAATATTTCTTTCTTAAGTTGTCCGGTGGGTGGCCCTTCCAGACGCACTGGAGAGAGGGAGTGAAGGACGTTAGGGAGGAGTTGAACGAGCAGATGCAGGCCAAGATGCGGAATCTGGTAGACCACCAGCTAAATTTGAATGACTTCAGGTTCGGGTACTTGTCTTCTTTACTTCGTGTTGACTTGACTAATTCTTGGGCTTTTTGTGCAGTAGACATGTCGGGTGTTGCGACTTCGTGGTTCCTCCAAAACATGAGGAAGAGGAAGAAGAGAAACGTAACCCACAAGGATGCACCTCGAGCATCCACTCCTGAACTCGTTGCGCCAACTGTTGTCGAAGTCCCAATGATCGACCTGGTCGGGGAAGATCAGGCGGAAAGGTCTTCACATGAGACCGAGGTGGCCCAAACGTCTGAGGTGCACACTTTGCAACTGAAGGGATGAGAGATCCATCATATGGATGGCCGAACCCTGCAAGAAGGTTGAGCGAAATTTCAAAAATTTCTCTCTCCCATGTGGGAATCACATTCCCTATATTAGAAAACTGCATTTTCAATGATCAACCTTGAAACCAAACCGAACCAAATCTGAAACCAAAAGGGAGTGGAGGGATATACATGATACGAAGTAATAATAACCTCCAATGAAGGTGTTCACGCCCAAGGAAAAATCCAAAGATTGCTTCCACCGAAGAT